TTTTCGTATTCTTCCTGTGAAACCCAATTTCCTTAAGTGACCTCTGTTCACAGGGAACTATTTTGTTTAATCTGTGGGAGCGTGGCATATTTTTAATGATCTCCAAAGGCCAGCTCCCTCTGCACTGATCGTGCCTGATACCTAAGTGAATGTTTTATAACACTCAGCACACATGAGATCACCACTGGCAAGTCATTTGCACACAATCAGCCCACAGTTCTTCTCACATTCCCCTTCATCCGCAAATTCAAATTCGGAACTCACAGTCAAGCTTGAGTCCTTTTTTTAAATATGTTTTTATTGACTTTAGAGAAAGAGGAAAGGAGAAGGAGAGAGAGATAGAAACATCGATGAGAGAGAAACATCCATCGGCTGCCTCCTACAGGCACCCTACTGGAGAGCAAGCCTGCAACCCGGACATGTGCCCTGGCTGGGAATTGAACCAGTGATCTCTCCATGTCTGCAACGATACTCAACCAACTGAGCCACACCATCCAGGGCTACGCTTGAGTCTTTACCATGGTAACTAACAAAAGAGCAGACGATGAAGAGTCTAATTTTGAAATTCAATTTATTAACATTTTATAAGTCTGATAACCAACTGGAAAACATGCATTGCAAAGTGTTAGCCAAACTAAGTAGTAAAAAAAAATGTGCAAACTGCCCCAAAAGAATTCAGATTAAAATATTCGAGTAAAGGGCTCCAAAACAACTGGAATGTTGATTTAATCATAAAATATTAGGGCTGAAAGACCCTTGGATGTCATCTAGCTAGCACAACTCTGTTTTACAAATGAAGAAGCCGAAGTCCATAGAGAGAAAGGGACTTCACAGTGAGTGCATTAGGGGCAGAACAGGAGGTAGAACTGCCTTCCAGGCCTGGCCCGCAGGGCAGACCACAGCCCACACCTCCAGCTTCCTGTCTCTGTTCTCCTTGGACCATCCGTGTCTGCAGTTCAAAACTAAGAAAAAGCCAGAACCTGGTCCACACGACCTGTCTACGCCATGATTGTATCAGAGTGTGTCACCTCCAAAGGGTTTTTGTTGAGGGACAATTTTCTTTGATAAATCAGTTAAAAGTAGCTATTTGTGAAGGCAACATGTTAGCACGTCTACTGCGGTGGAAATCAAGGGGAGCACATAGGATGCTTACCAACCTTCCCCCGAGAGCCTAGATGTCCAGAGACCATGAGAGAGTGACCAAGGAGACCTAGATGCACAGCTGCGAGTTCATGGACCTTTGATCCTCTGAGAACCTCAACTTGCAGGGAAAATCTGAGCTTTCAACAAAGGCTCACTCCACCTCGGAAACCCTCAGGGGAATGAGCAGTATTTGTTGAGTGCCAACTTGAACTTGAACCTAGTGCTGCTTTAAAGATCTCAGGAAGAAGACCCAGATGCCGCCTCAGAGACGCTCACCCACCAGCTAGAGAGAGATCTTCATACTGCGAAGAGTACCAAGTGCAATAGTATATCTTTTCATGGAACAAATATTTGTGGAGGGCTTGGGGTGGACCAACCTGGACATCCTGCAATAAAAGAGCAAGAAATTAATTGAAAGATGTAAGTCAGGACCCTCCTCCTTTTAAAAAAAATAAATCACTGACAAGTGTGGGGGGAAAAAGAAAGATGGAAGTCAGGACCAGATCACAAAGGGGCTGAAATGCTATCAGAGGGGTTTGGATTTTATTCTCAAGATGATGGAGAGCCATTGAAGGCTCTTGAGCTGGGCAGTGAATTGGCCAGACTCATATTCTGGAAAGATCTCTACATAGCTAGGTTAGGAGCAGATGGATTGTGGCCAAGGGCTACTTTGTGTGATTCCATCTACAAGGGCTTCAAGAGATTATTTGTGCTTTTAGTCTATCTTCAGGATAATCCAATGAAAAGAGGAGTAGTGCCTACAGCAAGCAGAACTGGTTCAATCCAACTTTTATCAGTCCCCGACTATAATGTTGGGCACATTATTTAAATAAAGCTCAGCTCTCTGTCTTTTTTTCTACACAGTGAAGCTAATAATGCTTAGCTCATAGGGTTTTGATAATAAAGAAGATGACGTGCCTGGACATTTCCAATAATCCCCCCAACACCATCAGATTCAGTCAGATAAAAGTGGCATTTCCCAGCCTAGGAGGGGTGCCACCTTGCATCCTGCCAAGCTGCCACTTAGCAGGAGATATTATTGCATTTTCTTCTTGGAATTTATCCAGAGCATTTTGTTGCTAATGTGTGAAAATAATTGCCATTCATTCTTCGTCAGTGAGCAACCCCGAGGTAAACTGAGATCAAAGCTCAATCTTAGATCTGAATCAAACCACCCAAAAACAATACTGCAAAGAATTAAACTGGGTTACACAGACCAGTGCTCCAATCGTCCTAGCAACGTTTTAAGCAAACACTGGTGCAGATTTGCTGGCATACACGACACTGAGAACATCTGGCCTTTCTATTATCCTCTCGCAAGCAAAAAATGATGTCGTGTAAACTGATCTTCAGGCCAATTATATGGTCTAAGTGTTACAGTGTTTGTATTGGCTCCTCAGGCTGCAGGTTTTAAGAACTTAATTTTAGCCACACCCCTCCCTGAAGCCCTAACTGCGTCTTACTGTAACAGACCCCAGGGATTTGTTTATGCGGAATCTGCACCTTTTTTCAGGATGGACAGTATGCGTAAATGCATCATCAGTCAACTGGGTGTGCAAAGCACTGTGGGAGGTCCTATACAAATAAGTTACAGGAGTTACATGGCAATGAGACGATAGAAGATGGTGCAGAAGAGGGTGGGCTCTGGGGGCTGCTCTGGTCACATGTCCAATGCTACATGTTGCCCCTGTATGCCAGTGTTATTATAGAGGCCAGGTGTGGCTTGGAGAGGCCCTAGCCTGCAGCTCACTTAGAAGGCACTAAACTAGAAGTCAGCAAACCTGATACTACCTCCAGCTCGCCTTTCCACAGTACATAAGGTCATTATTATGTCTGTATTTCCCCATCTAGACTCAACTTCATTTTCCAAACACCATGTGCCAGGCATCACCAGCATTGATTAGGTTAATTTTCATAATGACTGTCAGTGGCCGCGGTACTATTATCCCCACCATGTCTCACAGGGGCGGGTGTCATGGCAGAGATGTGAGCTTACCCCTCCCCTCTGGCTGCTTAAGGAGTGCTCTGAGCTATTGTTCTGTCAGCTCTAATGGACGTGAGCTTACCCCTCCCCTCTGGCTGCTTAAGGAGTGCTCTGAGCTGTTGTTCTGTCAGCTCTAATGGACTAGGGGCTCTAACGAACCACAGCCCAGCCTCTGGAGCAGGAGATAGTGAGTACAGTCCTGGGGCTCCACGGGAAGGGGCCTTCTTGCCCTCCCCACCTCAGCCCTCCCACATATGGTCTTTTTTTTTTTAGTTTTATTCATTTCAAACCGACTGGATCTGGCCCATGGGCCGTAGTTTGCCCACGGCTGGACTAGGGGCTCTAACGAACCACAGCCCAGTCTCTGGAGCAGGAGACAGTGAGTGCGGTCCTGAGGCCCCACGGGAAGGGGGCTTCTTGCCCTCCCCACCTCAGCCCTCCCTGCCGCCCTGCAGCTATAGCCAAGAGGCCATGATGACAGCTGCAGGGGCTGACTAGGGAGGTCTTTCTCTCCTACCCCACCCCCCACCCCCAGCCTCTGGATTAGTGGGCCTCCTCTCTTCCCCAGCCCACCCACCATTGCTGATCCCTAGAGGGAGGGAGAAGCCACACAGGGACCTGACCCCAGGCACCAGCAGCTCCTTCCCCAGTACTGGAATTTCACCAAGGAAATGAATCTCTCATCTCTGGGTCTGACTTAGCATGTCTAGGAACGAAGGACAGAATGCATAGCACAGTAAATCCCAACTCTGACTTGTCCATTACAGGAATTTATCACAGATGGTAACCATTAGGGCTTTAACGTCTTGAAGGAAAGAGCTTTATCCAGAATCATAAATAAACTGTAACCAAGGCTTAGGTTTATAAACCTGTAAAAGACGGTTGCGTGCCCCACTGGGGATTTCCTTACTGGGTTACAACATCAACTTAAGCCTGAACTTGCTCTGGGAGTTTTGGGCAATGCAGTAGAAGATGGTCATTTATTTCAACAGTTAGTGGACCCCCAATCTGAACCTAAGAAAGTTAGGCCCTGATTTAACCTCATGAAATGGAAGCTCAGAGAAGATGGGGTGCTGGCATCTAAATATGGCATGGTAATTCCTAAACCAGTAGTGTGGCAGCAAAGTATAAAACAAGGCCACTCCCTTCAGAAGTTCCTCATCGGGTCAGGGAGGCAAGGCACTTACAGATCAAACAGTTTTAGCGCACAGGCTTCGGGTGGCCTCGATTATAACCAGAGAAGAATTCAGGGGGGTGGGGGAATGGAGGCTGGAGTCATCAGGGAAAGCTGTGTGGAGGAAAAGGGACTTGACTTAACGACTGGGTGGATGAGAGGACGTGGGCACATGTGAACAACGGTTTGCTCAGCCCCACATCTCCCACCAACATGCATTGTGTCCCTGCGGTGAGTCTCATCCCGAGCCAAGTCTCAGATCACACAGTTGTATATCCTACAGGCAACTATCCTGCAGGTCATTGTTCCTCAAATGCCACCAACCCCGCCTCTTCCCAGTTGCGTGGCCTTGGGAAAGTGACAACTTTCCTAAGCCTGAGTTTCCTCAGCTGTGAAATGCAAATGGATAATAACACCTGGCTGATAAGCTGTTGAGCTGAAAATCGGTGACCTCTGGACTTGGCTGGACCCTATGCGTGCAGTTAAGGTCAGGCCCCAGACCGCAGGGAAAATGCACTGTAACAAGTAATTTGCGAGCTTGGGAAAAGGAAATAGGAGGCTTGTTGCATGCCAGTAGAGTGTTGTCATAGACACTGGTCTGCTTTGTACGTATTTCTCTCAGGCTGCCCACCGCACCTCCCACCTGACCTGCTGGAAGGTCCTAGCTTCAGCTCACATCTCCTCTCTGATCTCTTCCAGGGGCGCTGCATCAACTTTACCAGAGTCAAGAACAATCAGCCCGCCAAGTACCCACTCAACAACGCCTACCACACCAACTCGCCGCCTCCTGCCCCCATCTACAC